TTAGTGCAGTGCATACTGTCCGGAAGGCATGGCGTTACTGACGGACACTGTCCCGAAGGCATGGCGTTACTGACGGACACTGTCCCGAAGGCATGGCGTTACTGACGGACACTGTCCGGAAGGCATGGCGTTACTGACGGACACTGTGCCGAAGGCATCGCGTTACTGACGGACACTGTCCCGAAGACATTGGCCAGTTTTATTTTCTTGGAATGCAGATCATATTCATTCTCCCCACACACTTCTTTTAAGGTTCTCTTTGTCCCCCCTAAAATAAAAAAATTATGGTTAAAAAATAATTTTTCATGGAGGGAATTCTCCGTGGCCCTTTGTGGATTAAAAAGGGGGACATTGTCCCCATTGTCCCCACTCTGGAGCGCCTCCCTTGGCCTCACAGCTCCAGTGGGACACAGCTGCCCTCCGGCTGCCTGACACACCAGCGTGAGATGAATATCATTGTTTGTGACACTTATTCCCAGTGGCTTGCCACAGGCAATGGTCCAGAAGGGGGCAGCGCTGAGCTGAAGGCCTGGGTTGCTCTGGTGTCTGCAGCTTCAGTGGTGCCCTTAAGCACAGGTCTGAAGGCTCAGCGTGTAGGTGAAGCACTGACTTGCTTATTAATATGAAGCCTACAGATGTTTCTGGATATTTTTTTTTGGCTAATCCAGTCAAATGCTGCTTGCCATGACGTAAAAATTGAACTCGGAATCCGGGCTCTGTAAACTTGAATGAAGGATTGTGCAAAAAGAGGGCACCCAGGACTCTGTGAAGCAAACCGTCCATTTCCATCACATACCTTGACATCTTCCTAAGCGCTTTCCTGCCTCTTCTGATTGGCCAGATACTCTGGTGCTCATTGGCACAGCCCTGGATAGTATGAATCATTGGGTGTCAGAACGCACAGCCGTGTCACGGCTGAGGAGTGGGACGTGCCGAGACTCTCATGGCAACCCAGAGGACCTACCTCCATTCCAGTCTCGCTGCTGCCGTGGAAACGGAAAGGATTCCCTGACGTTCGAGAGGATGCTCGGCACCTGCGCGTCCATGATGAATCACAATCTGGAACGTGTGCCGTTACAGCACGCTTTTGGCTTGGAGCCAGCATCCCTCTGCGCTCCGGCTGCGAGGCTCCTGAGTGACAGACGGTCCTCAGCAGATTCCAATTGCAAATTCTCCAGTCAGATTCCAAATTCCACTTCTAGGAGCTAGAAGGCTTCAAATGTAAATTGTAGAACAGACCTCAAAAGCTTAGTACCGGAATCCTCCATTAGATTCTGGAATGCATTTCCGGAAGACATGAGCAACAGGCAGCAGAGAGTGAATTTCATAACAATATAATATGCAGAATATTATTCACTGCCAACTGTGGTCAGATGGTTGGAGTGAGACTGTCAGTTCGAGACAGGTCTGCACACGCATTTACATGTATGTAAGAGTTCTGTTACTTTGTAAATAGTCTGTAAGGTTTACAAACTGCCCCAACGTGTTTGATGTAACTAATTTCTTACGTTCACCCATCTGATCCATAAGATTTCTTGCGTGAGCGTGAGTCTGAAAGCGTGAGCGTCACGCCAGATGTGTGAGAGCTGGCAGTCCTGCCACTGTTGCACCCTTTATAAAGCTACTGAAATTAAACCGTTTTCAATTCTGGTGCAAGAGCGGCAGCCTGTTTTCAGGTAGCAGCTCCCCCACATCAGCAATGTAGAGAAACGTCAGGGGCTTCATGTCGGGAGGGGGGGAGGGGGGGTAACCTTATGTCAAGATGCGTCAGGATTACCGAGCGCTAGCCAGATTAGCATCTTAGTGAATCACACGGAAGCTGCGGCTCACTTTCCATGGCCTATGGGCCTGAGTCTGCGGGATGAGCAGCGCGCACACGGTCTGAGCGCAGCGTGACGCGCCGATGGGGCGGCAGGATAGAGGGCAGAGAGCAGAGAACCGGGCAGAGAGCAGAGAACCGGGCAGAGAGCAGAGAACCGGGCAGAGAGCAGAGAACCGGGCAGAGCACAAACACGCTTGGACGCTCAACTGGAAGCTCCGCCCCCCCCAGGCCCCATTCCGGCCTATGACATCTACAGGATTGGAACGCCTCTTCCTGCCAGCCGTGCCCATACTCCGAAAATAAATCCGCGCGCCATCTGCCAATCCCCACGAACTGTGTAAATAAATCGGTCACATGTCCAATGGGCCTGCGTTGTTTAAACCACACCGAAA